AGTTTACGGATGTTATACACACATGGAAAGCAAAGGAGATAAAATAAGGAATAAAAGGAAAATAATTATTAAATTGTGGAAAGAAGGACATAGCCTCAAAATAATTGGTGAAACTATTGGAAGAACGTATTCTTCTTTCCAGCGCGTAATTAATAATAACAAAGAAACCGCCATTCTAGCTTCAAAGCCTCAGTCTGGGAGTCCAAAAATATTATCCGTTCTGGAAGAGCTTAAAGTGGTCAATATGGCAAAAAATAATCCCAGTAAAACATCAACGAAAATTGTGGAAAATATTAAAATAATGATAAACAAGTAAAAAATCTGTATGTTCGGCTAGCCCAAACTTTGAATACCCATTTGGAACGAAGTTGGCAATTTTCAGAAAAATAAAATCTGTTAAAATCATAAAAATACCAAATGTAGTTATATCATGGTCTATACGATGACATGGACCTGCATAAGCAGCATTTGTCATAGACATTACAATATTCAAATGCGAAACTTAGAAAAAAAATCGTTGAATAATGTAGCTAAAGTCATCAAAATACCGAATATCGGAAGGTACCGTTATATGGGGGCACAGGCAATTTTCTGTCTTGGGCTGTAGTATCCATTACGAACTTCAAATACCAAACTTGAACTAATTTCGGCGAATAATGTCGCTAAAATCATCAAAATACCGAATATCGGGAGGTACCGTTATATGAGGGCTATACGAAGACGTGGACCTGTACAGACAATTTTCTGTCTTAGGCTGTAGTATCCATTACGAACTTCAAATACCAAATTTGAAATAATTTCGGCGAATAATACCGCTAAAATCATCAAAATACCGAATATCGGGAGGTGCGGTTATATGGGGGCTATATAAAGACGAGGAAATGCACAGGTAATTTCTGTCTTAGGATGTAGTATCCATTTCGAACTTAAAATACCAAATTTGAAATAATTTCAGCGAATAATGTCGCTAAAATCATCAAAATACCGAATATCGGGAGTTGCGGTTATATGAGGGCTATACGAAGATGGGACCTGCACAGACAATTTTCTTTCTTAGGCTGTAGTATCCATTACGAACTTACAAAATCAAATTTTAAACAATTCCCTCGAATAATGTTGCTAAAAACATCAAAATGCCGAAAATAGGGAAGTACCATTATATGGAGGCTATACCAAAGCGTCGACCTACATGGCCCATTTTCAATACCAAAAGTCCTGCAGACATATTATACATTTGAGTAAAATTTTATCAACCTACTTAATTTCGTTTGGAAGCTAGTGTGATTTCCACAGACTCACGGACATCGCTGAAGCGACATAGAATTTTGTGCTGAACAAGAATAGATATACTTTGTGGGGTCTAAAATGTATATTTCGAGTTGTTACAAACGGAATGACAAACTTAATATACCTCCATACTATAGTGGAGGGTATAAAAAAGCATCTATGCCAAAACATCCAGAAAAATTTTACATAGAGCTGGATTTCATGGAAGAGTTGTTCGAAGAAAACCGTAAATTTCAGTCATAAACAGGGATAGCATTCGTTCATAAATAAGCCTCCAGAATATAAAAGTTCGGCAAATATTTGGTGCAAGGCCGGCACTGAGCTGGAAAAACATTATGTAGTTGGAAGAGAATTGTCTATATTGGCCCACGATATCGAATGACCACCATACAACAGAACAACTAAATTCGGTATTTTGATGATTTTAGCGATTTTTTTAAGTTCGTAATGGGTACTACAGCCAATGACAAAAAATGGTCTATGTAGGGCCACGTCTTCGTATAGCATCCATATAACGGTTATCATTTGACAGGTTATTTTTCGACGGAATCTTTTGGAAATTTTCCAAGCCCCTTTAAAATGGTGGAGAATATTTAAATTTCGTCCGTTTCGATTCCTATTTAAACTTTTCTCAATTAATATTCTACTTTACATTCTTTCCGATGAAATTCCTTTGTGATTATTATGGTATTTAAAATTATGTCTTTTCATGTTTTGCGCAAAGTTAACAGTGAATAGATAAAATATTTTATGATTGTTAGCGCCACCTATCGACAACTAGTGTAAGAAAGAGACATTACTAACGTAAGGTTTACACACATAAAACAAAGATAGGACAGAGACATAAAACTATAAAGACTTGACAAAATGCATAGATGGCAGGCGACATAACAGAAATACATTGGAAATTTTAGAAAAATATGTTATTCCGATATCGCCAAAAATTGCGGAAATACGCGAAAAAAATATCAGGTATGATAGACATGCTCTCAAAAATCTATTCCAGAGCATTTCCTTGTACATTGTATCGATAAAAATCAACAACAACCCTTAAAAAGTGTCAGCTCTGATAAATTATAACATGTCACGATATCGTGACATAACATATTTTTCTATTACCAGCGCCATCTATTGGAGAAAAGTGAAAATGTAATGTCGCATCTAATTATATTATATGTCTTTGATAGGACATATCATTCGTGCTTTGATTCAATAGATGACGTTGGTAGTAGAAAAATATGTTATTATATCTTGATATAACATCTTCTATATCCAAAAAAGAGGGAAAATCGTTGTATGTTTATTTGTCTTTAATTTATGTACTCGAAAACCGCTCAACAGCTTTTCCTGAAAATTTCCAAATATACCACAACATTGCCTAAAAGTAACATAGGCTATATACATTTTTGAAATTCCACTTGGAACTGGATATATAGCATCAAAACCAGAGGTACCTCCCAAAAATTTAGATTTTATATGCGCATATCAATTGACCGATTACACATACAGTCTCCACATTTGGAATGTGTAAAGAAATTTAAAACGAACATACATTTGTCAAATTATATTGAAATCGGTGCAGATTTGGATGGAGCTCCCATATATATTTTCGACTGATATCGTTTATTTGATGCACCAAACATGATAAGTATGTTCTACTTTAATGAAATTTAGATTAAGTGACGGGATTTGATCAGAAAATAATTTTTGCAAAATTATATTGAAATCGGTTCTGATTTAGATATAGCTCCCATATATATTTTCGACCGATTTTACATATTTGATGCACTCAACGCGAAAAGTATGTCTGATTCGGACAGAGAGACGAAATTTGGTACCAAAAAAATATTGCCAAATTACATTGAAATCGGTTCAGGTTTGGGTATAGCTCCCATATAAATATTTCGGACGATTCCATGTATTTTATGCACCAAAGACGATATGTATATCCGATTCCAATGAAATTCAAAATGTGTTGCGGAATTATTGAGCGAAAGCTAAAATTGTCGGAAATAGCATCAAATTTTAGAATAATATTAGATTTGTTCGAGTTGGTCACCTTTGGCACGAGTTACGGCTTTCAAACGGCCAATGAAACCGTCACATGCTACCCGAATGTTGCTCTGCGGTATTTTGGCCCATTTCCGTCGAAGCGCTTGCTTAAGGTGACCGACACTTTTGTATTTTTTAGTGCTAACCTTGCTTTCCAAAATACTCCAGACACAATAGTCCAACGGATTGATATCCGGAGATTTCGGTGGTCGTTGTGTGCTGGAAATGAACCTCATTTTGTAACCAGTCTTGGGTGGCGCGTGCTGAGTGCGATGAGTCCTGTTGGAATGTCCAAGGTCTGCGGCCAAAATGTTTGCGTGCCCAAGGCTTTAAAGCATCCTCCAGAATATTTAAGCGATAATATTCGGCATTTATTCCGATGCCACGGTCGATACCATCGTCTATTATGGCGGCTATTATGGCGGCCAACACAATCAACATGACCGGCGCTTGAGTTCTGGTGGCCAACCGAAGGTGCACATTTTCAGCTGACCTCTTTGGCAAGCAAACACGATAATTTTTTTTTTCTTTACAAACTGCTGACCAACGATTGTTTTCTCATCGGAGAAAACCAAATTCGGCAGTTCACCTCCTTCGGTCAAGCGAAGCAACTATTTAGCTCATTTGAGTCTATTTTTTTTTTGTGGTGCTGTGTAAGTTTTTGCACTTCATAGAATTTCAATGGCTTTACCCCGAGCTCATTTTTCAATATTTGCCGAATGGAATATTGCGATATGTTCAGCTTACGACCCATATTTGGGCCACTGCGACGCGGGTTTCGATCAAGTCGCTTCTCTACTTTTCGAACCATTTTTGCTGATGTTGCTATTTTATATCGTCCACTTTTTTGACTTCGGGCTACTCTACCAGCATCACGGTAACGAGCGATGGTACGAGACACTAAATATTTATTCACATTTAAATGCTAGAGTGCTCTAACGATAGCCACCAATGGTTTCCAACCAAATATAAAGAAATCACACTATCACGCTTGAGTGGCTTGGAAATGACAGCAGTCTGAAGTTGGTTGCAGTTTTTTCATCTCACCCTGTATAAAGGTGTACCTGTTTGGCTTGTAATGTCTTTCAAAACAATGAAAACTCGAACAACTTGTTGCATAGATTTTGAATTATTGATTAAAAACGCGAAGACTGAATGGATGGTCAACATTTATTTACAAAATCATGTTTTATGTAGACATATGCATACGTTGCAATAGGCATTTTGAAAACAGCCGAATTTGAATATTTTCTGAATATTTTCTTTATAAACTCAAATTTCACGAATGTGTACGAGGTTTCGGAGCTATAGAATTATGTTAAATGTTCTAGAAACATTGCATGTTTTGCGCCACCTACTGGTCGATAGTAGTAAACAATGTGGAAACGCCATTATTGAACAACCTTGTTGGGATGTGATCATTTAAATATTTACTTTAATATGCTACACGTCAAGAATATAATATTTTTTTTTTTTCAATATTATATTTCGCTTTTCGTTTTTCAAATCCAACGATTATTATTGCTATTTTACCGGTATTAACGATTATTTCCAAACTCAGTTTCATAGTTTTCCGCGTTGCCAATATGTCCGCACCAAAAATGTTCTTCGTTTCTTCCATTCCACCATGTTTGCTCACTACTCTCCTAACCAACCGTGGGCAATTCATATAGAAGTAAAAAATGGCGTAATATTTGTGTTGCTTTCCATATCAGTGCTGAGAATTTATTGAAAATTTGCGTGGAATTTAACTGAAAGCATAAATAAATTATTACAAAACTGTGAAAAAAATACTTGCCAACAAAGTAACAACAAAATTCACATAAAAATGATTGTTGAAACAAAATAAAACAAGAAAGAAACATACGTGTTTGCCAATTACAAAAAAAAAAGAGTATCGAAGAAAAAAAGAGAAAAATCGGCACACACAAATTTCGGTGTCAATGTATGCGTGTGTGTATGTGAGGCACCACAACAAAACATAACGCGTAAGCCCGTCAAAAAACGAAACACAAATATCAACTAATTTACATTTTCCGTAAATAAATCCAAGCGGTAATTGAAGTGTAGTTGATGGGATGCCGCAATAAAAAAAGAAAACTAAGTTTTAAATACTGAGAGGATTATATTTTGAACGCTAAATAAAAGGAAAGTCTTCGTAAGGCGAAGAAAAACCAACAGCATTTTTGTTGGCAGCAGCAGCCAAAGAAAACGAAGAAAAGGCTGCAAATCGAAGAAAAAGAAAAACACAAACAACTCGCTTGTCAGAAGCTAAGAAGAAGAATTTTCACAGCAACAACAATTGGCCCATTAAAAGCCCCAGCCCCAAAAAATCTTTGCCAATTTGCTGCGTTTAAAAACTTCAATATAAAATCCCTCAAAGATTACAATTATGTCTGGTGGTGGACAAGACTCCACTAGCAGTAGTAGCACTAATGGCAGTGCAACTAATGGGGTGTCATCATCAGCGGTAGCCACAACTCCCACATCGACCGGACAATCGCTGAATCAAAGATCTCGCGGCCGACCGGCTAAACGGGCAACCTGCACTTGGTGTGGCGAAAGTAAACAACCGTTGCAATATGTTCTACCAACCCAGAATGGTAAAAAGGAATTTTGTTCGGAGACCTGTATAGCGGAATTTCGTAAGGCCTATAGTAAAGGTGCTTGCGCCCAGTGTGACAATGTAATTCGCGAGGGAGCACCCAATAAAGAATTCTGCTCGCTAATGTGCATGAATAAACATCAGAAGAAAAATGGTCCAACAAGATCGCTGAGCAACGGTTCGCGGGGAGATACACCGGGTGGCAAGGGAATGGGCGGCGGTGGTTCGTGTACACCAACTGGACCATTCCAATATGAAAGTTTTCATGTTTTTGATTGGGATGCTTATTTAAAGGTGAGTTGATGTGTGTCATGGTTTGTGTTCTTACGTATCAATAACGTTTCGATTATCTCCCAGTTAATCTAGCAAACTAATGGATAAATTAAGAACCCAAACAACTTTTTCTCAGGGTAATTTTTCGGATGTATTGTCAGTGCTTACCACCACTGTAATGCTGATGGTAGCTGCATGACCAGCAATTCATTCCAATACTCTCCTGATATTCTAAGAATAGTTTAAGATATGAAATTAGGGGAAACGAAAAGAAGAACGTTATTATAGGGTATAAGAACCTTCCGTTAGAAGTTGAGAGATTATTCAAAATAATTTTCCAAGCCATGAGAAGTTTACAACAAAATTTTAAATTACAATGTGATTCATATTAGAGTCCCTATTTCCTACCTATCAAGAAATTCTTATACAATGTAACACGGACATCTTCCTTTAAATGGTTTCGAGATAACATTTCAAGTCTAATTTAAGGCAAGGGTCTTTTTGAGATATCCGAAAACTTTTCAAATCAAGCTGTTGTTCTATAATTTTCCATTTTTCTTATAGTTAGCTGTTTGGAAGATCTCAACCCAAAAGATAAAGTGTAGGTAGTACGCAGGAGCTGTATTAAATTGTAGCTAAAATGCAAATAATGTGTATGAATCCGATCTGATAGTCAGGGGGATCGTTAAAAGAGATGCTGATCTAATGTCTTTCCAACTTATCTTCTTATATATATCTGATATTTCCCCCTTCCATGTCGTAGTCATGGATCTTATCAGGTGATGATCACTACAGCAATTTTGATACCAGTATTACTAAAAGAAATTTGTAAGATTTTAAGTACCGGGTATATTGATCTTAATACCCTATCCAAAGCTTCTCTTTTTTGGATCATCGTTTTGTGATTGTCGAAGGCATTCCAGAGAAGTTGGACTTTTACGGAGTGAGCCACTTAGGCACGAGTGTAGTTATCTAGTTAATAAAAATTTATATTTTCTTTCCCCAGTCAAAACGACGGGAGAATTAGGCTCAGGATTCCAAGAGCTATACATGCTGTACATTCTCCGTCGTTAAAACGATTGCGTTTCTCAACTGCTACACTGCTAACGTTTTGCTTCGAAACCATATTAACATAAATTATCTCATTTCTCTTTACAGGAAACTGGTTCTGAGGCAGCTCCGCCAGAATGTTTTAAACAGGCGCTGAATCCACCAGTTAATGATTTTAAAATCGGCATGAAACTAGAAGCTTTAGATCCACGTAATGTTACCTCAACCTGTATAGCGACCGTTGTTGGTGTCCTCGGATCCCGTTTACGTTTACGCCTTGATGGTAGTGACAGTCAAAATGATTTCTGGCGTTTGGTCGACTCGAACGAGATTCATGCCATTGGCCATTGTGAAAAGAACTTCGGCATGTTGCAACCACCACTTGGGTTTCGCATGAATGCCTCCAGCTGGCCCGGCTATCTATGTAAAATTTTAAATAATGCCATGGTAGCACCGGAAGAGATTTTCCAGCCAGAGCCAGCTGATCCACCCGAAAATCTCTTCCGTGTGGGCCAAAAGCTCGAGGCGGTCGACAAAAAGAATCCACAATTGATTTGCTGTGCAACAGTTGATGCGATTAAAGACGACCAGATCCATGTGACATTCGATGGGTGGCGTGGAGCTTTCGACTATTGGTGCAGCTACAAATCTCGTGATATATTCCCAGTTGGTTGGTGCGCCCGTAGTTGTCATCCAATGCAACCGCCGGGTCATAAATCACGCATGGATTCCAGTTCGAGTAAACATCGTAGTCCACGCCAACGCTATACATTTATACAGGAAACCGATTCAATGGTCCCAGCCACACCAGTGACAGCACATTTCCATACCAATTGTAAGGGTGGACCGTTTATCAACAGTGCAAAGCTACCATCAATGGTGACGGGGCCAACACATCAAACGCTAGCAAAGTTATGTCTTCAGGAGGTGTTGGCAGCCAGTACAGATACGCAACAATTATCAAAACTATTGTTTGCATTGGAAGGTGATGTTCACATAGTTACGGCCGCAGGAAAGAATTTTACGGTAAGTGAAGGGATAGATGTGTCAATTTGTTTATCAAGTAGGAGGTGTGTACTAGAAATAGTTGATTTTGGTTTTCCTTGATTTCAGGTAAAAATTCCATCACCTCTACGCATGAGAGATGACGATAGTTTGGCACAATTTATTGAAACTCTATGTACAACATGCAGGGCATGTCCAAATCTAATATCGCTATCTCCAGATACGGAGGATTGTGAAAAATGTTCGAATTCCAAGAAGAGACCATTGTCACAAACGTCCAACGCCACTGGCTCGTCCGAGAGTTCGACACCAGTAATTCCAGAAAAACGCAGTAAAACTCCCAGCAGCAGTGAAAAGATAACCATTAAACAGGAGGTAGCCACTTCCACAACAACGGCGGCAAATTCATCTGTGGACAGTAGTGGTAGTAACAATACAGGGAGCAGTACAACAAATGCAACATCCACAACCAATACAAATAATCATTTCAACAATCAAAGCAACGCCAAGGAGCCTTCCAATAGTACTCCAACGGCACCCACATCATCGACAAATAAAAATCAATCTCCACATAGCAGTAGTGGCAAAAATATGCATGGCAATAGTGGCAATATTAATAATCATAATGAGACGACAACTAGCAATGGCGGCAGTGTTGGTGTTCTACCGAATAATGCCCATATTAAAATTGAACCGTCGACAGTGGCTCCTGCGACGGCGGCAAGCACAAATGGTGTCCAGGTTAGTCTTTATTTGGTAGAATCACACGACGTTTATACTCCTGGAAGAAGGCCATTTGGTCTAAATTTTTAAACCACTTAATAGATGATATATTTTATTCGTTAAAACTTTTAATATTAATGATATCAACCAAATTTTATATTTTCAGAATGCAACACAGGCCCAGGCTTTAAGGCAAGTGCGCATACATCATCATTCAAATAGTAATACGGCGACAGCTGCTGCAGCATCATCTTCCTCCACACCATCATCATTATCACTGTCGTCGACAACTTCATCCACTGGAACGCATCGAGACGAACACAAGCAACAACAGCAGCAATCACATCAACATTCCCTAAACAATTCGAATTTCAAGTACTTGGCACCCATGGTAGCAGAAGTACATCCAGAACAATCAAATTTAATTGCTGCTGCCTCGGCCACAGCGTCCACAACCTATAAATCTCCTTCCACACTATCATCTAGTGCTTCGTTACCTACATCCGTATCTACACCATTCTGCGCCTCACAGTCTACATCGTCGACGGTAGCCTCGGCTACGGCCGTCATACCCTCAACATGTTCATACGGTGGTACTGTCACTGTGCCAGTACATCATAATCCACATAATACAAATGGTACAATGGGTGCTGCTTTACCTCCATTACGTGCCCAACCAGGGGATTGGTCAATTGAGGAAGTTATACAGTTTATCGAGAGCAATGATAGTTCATTGGCTGTTCACGGTGATCTCTTCAGGAAACATGTAAGTTGTACAATTTTCCGAGGATTATATTAAGACATTTAAGAATGTAGCAATAGTAGTTGCTATAATAGTTGTTCCAAAAAGTTGCCACTTGTCCCTTCAGATTAATCGCGATCTTTTCGGAAAAAATCATTGCTAAAAGATACAGAATTTTTGGAAATAAACGAATTTCGAAATATACAGGAAGTTCGATATAAACAGATGTCGAATATGACCCCCAGAGATTGTGGAGTAGTTAGTGGACAGAATTGTTTGCCAATTGACCTCCATGCTTTGTAGGATTGTCAACACTTAGTCAGTGTAATAAACAATTTGACTGTAAATGTAAGTGGGGGATTACACATATAATTCGAAATCTTTCAACTATCATCCTCAGCGCCACAGGTAGCATTAAATGTTTTAAGACGTTCACGTAATATTATGCCAGGCTGCAATAGGATTCCAACTTTTGGAAAAAGGAGGGTGGCTAGCTTCGTTTAGCTTTGTACTTCATAAGTTAATTTTTATATCCTATGTTTTCTATATTAAATAATTATCCCCTCAGCTATATGGCTAGAGGGGGTATATACAATTTGATACGGTCAAAACTTGCCTAGTCGACATAACGGTTTTAGACCCTAGGTCTCTTTGGACCAAATCCGTTTCAAGACATTTGGAGTCGATCTAGAGATGTTCGCTCGTCTGTCTGGCTGGTGCACACTATAACTACCGAAGGGATTATCCGATTTGTTCCAAACTTGGTACATCATAATGTTATTATCAAACTTACATCGAGTTAGGATATGGGCAATATCGGTCCACTCCACCTGGTACCTCCCCACAACATGTCGCAATTTTCAAAGAAAATATTTTACTGCACAGAGAGAGAGAGAGAGAGAAAGCAAAAATTCGATTTTGCTCCATCTTTTCAAATCACAATAATGCTAGATCAGGAGGGAAAATGGATAATATCGGTCCACTCCTTCAAGAAACACCCCCACAAAAATTCGAAATTAAAAAAAAAAAAAAAAAAACAAATAAATATTTTCTGCACAGAAAGAGAAGCTATATTCCGATTTTGCTCCATCTTTGCACATCCTAATATTTGCATTAGTTCTAGGTCAGGTGCAAAAATGGAATATATCGGTCCACTCCACGAAGTGCCTCCTCCACAAAGAGTCAAAATTTTGAATAATTATGACTCTTATAAAATGTGATGTAACAGTCAGATTGACTTCAAATTCAAATTTATTAACCCAAGGTGTGATGTGAAAATGGAATATATCAGCCCACTAGTTGTAGTACCTCTCCTACCAAGGGTGAAAAATTTGAATATCAATGAAGCTCATAAGACGCGAAATCAACATCGGATTCCGTTCAGACTTGGCACATCTCAATATTTCTATCAACATAAGATCTGTTATAAAGATCGGTCGGGCCATTCCTTCTGGTACCTCCCCTACAAAGGGATAAAGTTTCGTTTAACCAAAACGATTATTAAATACGAACTAAACGTCCGGTTCTCTTTATGTGAATGTGTGAAATCATCCCATCCCATTTCTACTGACACTCCTTTTGGTAGCTTCCCCACAAAGGGTCAAATTTTTGAATATCCATGAAGCTCATAGAACGCGAAATTTACCTTTACATTTTCTAAAATTTTTCACATATCTCATATAAAGTGAAGGAATTAACCAATATAGTCCAAACCTGGCACGTCACAATATTAATATCATATTTATTTAGGAAATGGACAATATTGGCCAATTCCTTCGACCAAAGCCTTCTCCATAGATGGTCAACAATTTGAAAAATCATAACAGAAGTCAAAATATATTTTTTAATAATCGAACATTGGCTGAGGGCATACATCTGTCGGCAAAACCGACAGCCTTTTTACCTTACTTGATAAAACTTTTTGTTCTGCATAAAATAATTTTTATATATCCGTTTCGTTATTATATAATTGTATTTTGTTCGTATTTTTTTAGGAAATTGATGGCAAAGCCTTGTTATTGTTAACCTCAGAAATGATGATGAAATATATGGGTCTCAAATTAGGACCAGCCTTAAAAATTTGCAATTTAGTTAATAAAGTGAATGGTCGTCGCAACATGTCCCTGTAAATAAAACGAAACAGCAGCAGCAACAATGAAGTTGTAGCAGACAGCTCATACAGCCTTTAGACCCTCTCCGCCACCTGTTACCAATACATGATGCCCTCATATAAACAAAACAATTCAACCAATCAACCTACATACCTACAAATAACATATTTAGTGAACTACCTTAACCGACAAAACACCAAATATTCCATTCAACAAATCCCCTCATAAAGAATATATACGAAAATGAAAAACGGGAAAATATCTCAAGAAACATATTTAAACAGATAAAAAAACAATGAAGTAGATATATAACTTCTCAAAGGAAACCATAACACGCATTCAAACATATATAATCAATAAATTATATAGACAGAAAAAGAACACAACACAACCACACAGTCACACATAGTATCATTTATGAAATCTCTTTTATTGCACAATACCGGAACGGAACAGATCAATACTACTAATACACAAACATACATAGCGCTACACAATAATTTTACAAGACACAAAAAATTGAATTTCGCCTAGATTTCAAGTGACGATTTAATTAATTTTCCTTTACACAAATATTGTGTATTATTACTTTTCGGGACACATAACATTTTTAAGGATTATGGTTTGGTTTTTTAATAAATTTGTTTATAAATATGATTTGTGTAATAAACACTATCGCCCCCTATATCAAAAACAAACAGTACATACATATATAGCAATAACACGGTAGTGAATATAGAAGGCGCCCAAGGCGGTGGTGTGATGTATACCAATTAAAAAATATATTTTTATTTTAATTTCTTGTTATCTTTTTTGTAATATCAACTGATTTTCTTTTTAGTTAAACACTTTTCCATCTACCTACTATACGTATACACAAATCTTGGGGTTTTCCCCTGGGAAACCTATTTTTATTATTTAATTTAATCTGTATTATTTTATTCTTGTATTTTAGTTATTCATATACATATTTTTTAATCAGCGGCAAATGTCAAACATATGCATTGAAAAAAGGATAATATTACATACATATAAAGATAACACAAAACAAACACACACAAAATAAAAATCGAAATTTTCTCATTATTATAATTAAATTGTGAATTTTAAGTTTGATTTTTCTTTTCAAATAAAATAACAAATTTTGAAACTTAAAAGCCTAGGAAAAGGATGCCTCAAATAGCAGCAATCTATCTCATTTATGTGTAAATTATTTGTATTTTATTTTTGGCACAAATCTACAAATATTGTATTCTATTGAATAAAAAAAAAAAAACAAAACGAAACGAAACTATTATGCAAAATTGTATATTTAAATTAAAGTTTTGATTTTTTTCTTTTGCGTTTCACTGGCATCAATCATTCTTATCGCATCTATTCTGTAACGTTTTTATCACTTATTAAGTACGTATATAAAACAAATTGTAATTTAGTTTAGTTTTAATGTTAACAAAAAGAAGAAAATGAATGAATATGAAATAAAAAAAAAAAACAAAAAGAAATAAATACATAATATTCCATAATAGAAACAAAGAAATGTATATAAATAATATATAAAACAAACAAATATCTTTATCCTCAAAAAAAAATCCCATGTAAAAGATTTGAGTTATTAAATCGAAATTCATGTCCTACACGATGTTGTTTATTTTAAACCTATCACGGACTCGTGTTCGGTACTTTTTCAAGCCAGCCACATTAGGGAACTCGTCAAGTTATAGAGTGTGTCCGGTCTTGTCGTAGAACTTCGATATTATGAACAGCCTATACAAATTTTCTAGCACGAACTTCTGTTAAAACAGGACTACAAACCACTTGTCGATTTGGGTTGCTTCGGTTTAGTGATTCACGCTACACTTTGAAACACAGTCCGGTTTTTGAAATAGGTTTTAAGGTGACTCGAACCGTGGTTTTTGTTCGGTTCGTTGCTATTTGATAACCTACACCACTCTTCGTATTTAGTAGAGCTATCGTAACAAAAAAGTTTACATTTGGAATTTATGTGAGGTAGATCATACCAACTATGAACCTTCTGTGAATGTGTGGCTTTAGAGTAGTCACAATATGGGAACTATATTCAACTCTGAATGGATTTTCAACAAATAGGACGGAGGCTTTTGTACCTCTAGTATCAAAAATTTATTGGAGCAATTAATATACCGGACCGAGCTTAACCAAATGGAAAAATTCGGTTGAATATGAAAACATCTATTCAATTTGGGATGATATTACACACAGCGTGAGATAAAGAAACTGCAACAAAGTCAAACGCAATAATTTTTACATTTTTTTTTTAATTAGTTAAATGAATTCATGTCGGAAATGGCATCAATTTTTAGAATGAGTTTAGATTTGTTCGAATTGGTCACCTTTGGCACGAATTATGGCCTTCAAAGGGCCACACGTTTCCCGAATGTTGCTCTGCGGTATTTTGGGTCATTCTCACCGAAGCGCTTGCTTGAAGTGATCGACACTTAGGTATTTTTAATGCCAACCTTGCTTTCCAAAATACTCCACACTCAATAGTCCAACGGATTGCTATACTGAGATTTTGGTGGCCATTGTGCGCTGGAAATGAAGCGAGACACCTCATTTTGTAACCATTCTGGGTGGCGCGTGTTGAGTGCGATGGTGATTCCTGTTGGAATGTCCAAGGTGTGAGGCCAAAATATTTGCGTGTCCAAGGCTTTAATACACTCTCCAGAATATTTTCGCGATAATATTCGGCATTTATGCGGTCGATTAATAGAGCGGAGAGCGACCATCGGCTGTTATGGCGGCCAACACAATCAACTTGAGTTCTGGTGGCCAACCGAAGGTGCACATTTTCAGCTGACCTCTTTGGCAAGCAAACACGATAATTTTTTTTTCTTTACAAACTGCTGACCAACGATTGTTTTCTCATCGGAGAAAACCAAATTCGGCAGTTCACCTCCTTCGGTCAAGCGAAGCAACTATTTAGCTCATTTGAGTCTATTTTTTTTTTTGTGGTGCTGTGTAAGTTTTTGTACTTCATAGAATTTCAATGGCTTTACCCCGAGCTCATTTTTCAATATTTGCCGAATGGAAAATTGCGATATATTCAGCTCACGAGCCATTATTCGGCCACTGCGACGTGGTTTCGATTAAGTTTCGATCAAGATGTTGCTGTTTTCTTCTGTGAACTTCCTTGACGTCGGCCAAGGCTACCAGTATCGCGGTAACGAGGAATGGTACGACACACAAAAGATTTATTCACACATAAATGCTGGAGTGCTCTAACGATAGCCACTTGTGATTTGCCACCCAAATATAAAGAAATCACGCTATAATTGCATCGCTTTTGTACGCTTGTAAACAATATAATGAGGTTTAGAAAAGACAGCAATCTGAAGTTGGTTACAATTTAGGAACTATATCCAACTCTGTCGATTTTTAACAAATTGGATTGGACGGAGGCTTTTGAACTTCTAGTATCAAAAATTTATTGGAACAATAGATATACCGGACCAAGTTTCACCAAATGGAAAAATTCGGTTGAATATGAAAAAAATTATTAAATTTGGGCTGATATTACATATATGGTGGACAATAACCGTAAAATCGGATATGGTGGACAATAACCGTAAAATCGGATGATGGTGTATATCGAAAGTATATAAAAATCTAAACCGATCTCAATAAATTTTGGCAGAGGTATTTCCGAGCTGTATCTGATATCCGTTATTAAATATTCTTTTTGTGGAGTGCATATTACAAATGTGAGGGACTTTAACACCAAATCGGATGAAACATGTATATGGGAGCTATAGCTATATCTGAATCTGAAATTTGATGTACTTGCTTCTAGACTAAATTCCGTCGGAAGTGCCAAATTTTAATCCATTTGGGCTGATATTAACCATTTGGTATAGATTAAACCTGATTAAATCTAAATCTAATCCGGTCTCGATAAAAAATTGACAGTGGTATTTCTGGGCTGTATCTGATATCTGGTACCAAAGATTATTGCTGTGGAGTGCATATTACGCATGTGGATGAAAAAAATTTGATGTACTTGTTTCTAGACTGAATTTAGTCGGATGTGCCAAAATTCAGGTAATTTAGACTGATATTGGTCATTTGGTGCACAATTAACCCGAAATCGATTGAAGATATACGCATATGGGAGCTATATCTAAATTTTAGCCGATTCTCATCAATTTCAATAGGGTTTGTCCTTCGACAAAACAAATAATGTTTGGAAAACTTCATCTCAATCGGATAATAAATGCGACCTGCATTTTGTTCACAAAAATACATGGTCAGGCGGACTGACATGCATAAATCGACTCATAAAGTGATGAAGATCCTCAAAAGTAACTATAGGTATATCTCGCCTTCTCCACGTTACAAACAAATGCGCAAAGACATAAAACCTATACCTCTATGTGATGTAGGGTATGAAAATATACATATCCAATTCCACACACATCCTGTTTGTCAAAATTCTATAAATTAGCCGATGTGGATGTGGTACTCTGAAGATAAATTTGTTATTTTTTTCGAACAAACTAAGCATCACTCATTTCCACCTCTATCGATTGAGATGTAGACCTCTCAACCATGGATTTTCACATTTAAAACTTAAGTCGCATCATAGAGGAGTCTCAAAATACATATATGATCCGAAAAATATCAAATCCAAATCGAACATCTTGATTGTGGAAGAAGAAGCAAATGATTGACATAGACTGATTTCAAAGTGTAACTTAATGTGTGTGAATCAACGATCGCCCAGGATGTTTATTTCAATTAAAATTTTGTATCTTTTGAAAAATTTGATATATGTGTCAAAAAATTGAATTAAAATTGTTAATAATTAAAAAAAAAATACTTTCAATTTAGTTAACGAATTTTTAATCTCTACGTTGTGCTCTAATATCAATATCTTTGAAGAAATCTCTGCTAAAGGATGGAGACAGCCGTTTGTATAGAATTTGGTGAGTCCGTATAAAACGTATTAATTGGATCATTTAGACAATTTTTACGAATTTCAGTTGATTTAGAATTTAGCATAAACAATAAATGTCTTGAATTACACTAAAATCGGTTTTGAATCAGATTTCGGTATTTGTTCCCTGTATCAGGGAAAGTATTTTTCTTTTTGTACGGGTGGTTCTTACACGAAAATCAAAGATCAAGACCCGGTTAGAAACCAAAGTGATACAATATGTTTTATTATCTTTCTCTGGTCTGTTTAGTCCATTTTAATGATATATACAAAAAATTAAGTACACGTAGCCAGTATGGGACGTAGCTTTGGTCCCGGTCGAAGTCCAAATACACAAAAAAATTAGTTAAGAAAAACTTGTTCCCTTAGCCGTATTGGACATACCCAGAGGGGAAATTTTAAGACCCAACTGAAGACCGGCTACTTAAAAGACAAAAAAAAAAAAGACAATATCGTCCATTTCGTATCGGACCTAAATAAATAAGATATCAATATTGCGACGTGCCATGTTTGGACTATATTGGTAACTTCCTTCACTTTACATGAGATATGTGATAATTTTTAGAAAATGATTAAATGTGCGTAAGGTACCAGATAAAATCGACCGAAGTATTCCATTTTCATGCTTCATCTAATACAGATAAAAATATTGATATGGCCAAAATTATAAGAAAATCAAACATTTATATCCAATTTATGCCAAATCATAAGTTCCATATTTATCTCAGGTTTCTGATTGAAAGACATACATTTAGATACAGCAAGTTGTAAAGAACTGCTGTGTTGTTTCGCAATTTAGGACACCTTTGTGGTGAGGTACCAGAAGGGTTTCGTAGATATATAGCATCTTCGCAACAAATCTTGTGTTAGCAAAAATGTTTGTATGTGTGAAATTTGAAGAGAGTTGGATGCTTATTTCGCCTTCAACAAAACGCTCAAAGTTTTGTTTTTCAAAATCTTGAACACTATGTGGGAGAGGTACCAGAAGGAGTGGACCGATTTATTCCGTCTCAATGCCAGATCCTGGGTTCATAAAAATATTACGATGTGTGAAATTTGAAGACAATCGGACTCTTACATCATATATTATAAGAGTTATAAATATTCAAAATTGTCACCCTTTGTGGGAGAGGCACTTGATGGAGTGGACCGATATTATCCATTTTTACACCAGACCTAGAACTGACGAAAATATTAGGATATGCAAAGTTAGAGCAAAATAAGGAGATTGCTTCCCTTACTGTGCGGAATTTTTTTTTTAATGTTGACTTTTTGTGGGGGGAGGTTCCAGAAGGAGTGGACCTACATTGTCCATCTCCAAACTCGATCTAAGTTCAACTATAATATTACGATGTACCAAGTTTGGATCAAATCAGATACTCCCTTCGGGATCTATCGTGCTCACCAGCCAGACAGACGAACAGACATCGCTTGATCGACTCCAAATGTCCTGAAACGGATTTGGTCCAAAGAGACCTAGAGTCTAAAACCATTATATCTCTCTGTAGCCGTATTGCTGAGGGTACCTTGTAATTATTCTGTCCTACCTTTTAATTGTTGTACCGTAGTAGGGCTTTTAAATTTGCACAATATTTTGTATTGTGTCTAATATGGTTGGTATTGAGAATGAGATACATCGGTTCACGCTTTGGTATAGCACCATCAATATTCGTTATTTTCACGGAATTGTTCTAAATTTGATATTAAGAGTTAGTAACAAGTTCTACTGCTGGTGGCAGAACATTGGCTGTATTGGTCTACGTTTTATTATAGCCTCCATATATATTTTTATGGATTTAGACACATTTTTTTTATTTATTCAAGATTTCGTAACACAGAAACGTTTTTAGGCCAAAAATAGCATTACAATGTAATATTACCAAATAGAAAAAATCTTAATTATACAAATACAAATATTTATTTTATGACACATTACTATAAAATACTTTATCTTACTCTATCTTTTTTGTTTAAATTAGAGTTTAAATTTGTTGGCTCCCCAGCCGCAAATACTTAAAGATTAAATACAGAATTATAGGATAGGCGAATAAATCGAAGAAACAACAAGTGAAAAATGGAAATTTGTAAGGCAAAGGTAAGATTATGCAAAGTTACAATTCAGTAGTAGTTAAATGGCTACATAACTTTAAACGAATCACATTATTAGAATGCGAAAAAATGCGCAGGTCAACAGGTAGGAAGTTCCAGCATCTTGCAACGCGAATTATAAAAGACTTCTCAAATTGAGAGTTAAAAATCCTTGGTAAAACAATCTGGGTATTTCTAGTGGAACGGGTAAATTTAAACATATCGCACAGAGGCAAGGGTATACCAGTTTTAATAATTTTGTAAAAAAAAGCAAATTGCGAAGGTCAATATATCGTTCGAAAGGCAATCCCAGAAACTGCTTAACAAATGGGGAAACATGATCACGCCGGCGAATATTATAGACATATCGGATAATAGAGTTAACAATGCATTTCAACTTAAGAACATTGTAATAGACAGTTCCAGATATGACTTCTAAGGCGTAGGAAACCAACGGCATTAATAGCGCATAAGCAATTCTGAACTTAATCCATTTTGGAAAACAGAAACAAGTTGAGTAAAGTCCACGTAAAATTCCATAAACTCTAGCATGAACAGAGTCAATATGAGGTCCAAAATTAAGCCTTCTATCAATAATGACTCCCAAGCACTTGTGCTGATCTAAAAATTGTACCATAGTTTGTCCAATAAAAATATTTATTACCATCTCATTAGAAGTAAATCGAATTGCTTTTGTTTTTAAAGGATTTATCGTCAAAGAATTGCTGCTTGTCCATTGGAGTATTGAATTAAGACACACATTTATATTATTTTCTAAAATAGTCTCACATCCCTTATCAGCACTAAACAATAAGAAAATATCATCAGCAAATACGAATGCATCACAGGAGTTTGTATTCAAACACGCAGAGAAATCATTAATATAAAGTATAAATAAGAGTGGTCCTAAAACAGAGCCCTGTGGTACACCAGAAGTCAGGCGTGCAACCCTAGATCTTATACCATTCAATTCAACGAATTGAAACCTATGATTCATATAATCCATAATCAGTTTACACGCTGTATAGGAAAAATTAAAGCCATACCTGAGTTTACGTATCATAGTAGCATAACATATAGAATTAAACGCTTTAGACAGATCCAAGGAAATCAAGATGCTGTCATAATTTTTATTCATATTGCCTCTGATAGACTCGGTGAGATGCAACAGCAAAGATGTGCTGCTATGACCAGCACGGAAAGCATATTGTGATTCAAAGATTTTATTTCTGGTAAAAGACAGAATTTGATTCTTTAATATATGTTCAAATACCTTGGATAAGACAGGTAAAATTGATATGGGCCGCATATCATCAAAGGAACGTATAGCAGAAGGGATAGGAACAACACGCGCGGGATAGGAACAACACGCGCTGTCTTCCATGCTATAGGAAAAACTGATGTAGTTATAATCGAGTTAAACAAGTCCAAGATCAAGTGAGAAATATGAGGAAACGAAATCTTTAAAAACTCAAGTGGTATTTCATCCACGCCAACAGACTTAGACTTAATTTTACCTAAAGCAATTGCAACATCCTCTCTACCTACACACTCAAATGAGTACGAATTACTAACATCTTCAAAGTGATCAACATCAAACAATCCAACTACATCAGGACCAGCACCTGATGCGAAAAAGTTATTCAGCGCATTAACATCATCATCGTAATTTGCACCCTCAGCACCTGAACAACCATACCTTTTTAAAGCCCGCCATAATTCTTTACAATTCATTCCATTAAAATGTCTAGAATAGAACTGACGCCGCACCTTTCTAATCAATGATTTAGCGCGGTTACGATATCTTTTGAAAATACTCCAATTCTCATTAGTGCTATTCTCTTGGAATGCTTTATATGACGCATCTCTTAAAGACTGAGCAAATACAATTTCCCTTCTACTCATCCACTCATGATCAAACGAATGAATTTTTCTTCTAACTGTAGGTACAAAAAGAAATAGCTCTTTTATAAGCAAATCAAGTAGCAAACATTTAGCATTGACGTCACTAGTTGAGAAGAATAAAGGTGTGTCAAAATTACTCAAGGTTTGTTGCAAGCCATCCCAGTTTATATTATTGTAATCCTTATACTCTATAATTTCATCCAAGGTTTTCATATTAATATCAAAAGAGGAAAAAATTAAAGCATGGTGTGATAATGAGGGACATTGGACTTGATTAGAATACTGGGGCTTTAAGCTGTCACTTATTAGCATAAAATCAATCAAAGAAAAGGAGGCATGAGCCACATCAAAGTGCGTCGGTATAGAGTTATGTAAAACGGATAAGTTAAACCTAGAGCACATAGCACGCATTAAACTACTTCTCGCAACTTTGAACATATCACAATTAAAATCACCAACAACAATCACATTTGAAAAACTCCTTAACAAATCATAGTGAATTTCTTCAAAAGCCACCAGATCCCCTACAGGTGGTAAATAAACAACCCCAAAAACGCACTTTGTGTTGCCAGAATATAGTTCTAAAAAGAGCGATTCACACTTTCCCAACACTGAGGACTTAAAAACCAGTTTGTGTTTGAGGGATTTAGATACAAAAATGCACACACCTCCACCTCTTGACTGCTCACGATCATTTCTATAACAGTTATATCCTGGAATACTAATCGCTTTCCTGGATACAAAAGGCTTCAACCACGTTTCCGAGATACCAAAAGCATCAATTTTGGATCCAGCCAACATTGCACTAAGTTCATCAAATTTAACTGAATTACTAGAAGGCCTTATGCTTTGGCAATTTAAATGAGCCACAATAAATCTTCCTTCGCTTGAATTAAAAATAAATCTAAAATACGTGTTTCCACTAATCGCCTCACCCATATTCATGTTAAAAGACATCAAAATTATACAAGGCACGTAAGATGGGGAACCAACAAAAATAATTATACAAATTCAGAGTATTTTTAAAAAATTCCAGAAATTTCATTAAAATGCGAAAGACACAGCTAATCATAAATCTTACGAGATCAATATAATTGTAAACTCATATTATGAGAAAAAGAAAAAATTCAAAAGCTATAGTTATAGTGACATATAGTCTGCGGATTTGTATAAAAATTGGCATTTGTACTTCTAAGTACTTCTAGCTAAGTTGACAGAACAATGTATATATATGTTCACGTTACACTATAGCGCACATAGAACGGAACCTTAGGACATTCTATATTTCGACGATTTAAGCCACTTTTCTTTAAAATTTGTTATTTGAAGATCATAATGGGTTCTACTTCTTATTATGGTACAAGGACAAAATTGTCATTTTATTTTTGTTAAAACACGGCAACTCAGGCAAAAAGTTGCCAGACTGACCTTTGAGTTGTTGACAGAAGAATAAACAGCTGTTTTGGCAATTTGCCTTTTCCAGTTTCTATACTTTCGGCTTGTTGCTTCTTCATTCGCAAATCTCTGTGTGTTGGGTGTTTGGCGTTTGTGTACGCCAAAAGTCATAATTTTAAATTTATTATTTATTAATAAAACCGGCAAAAACCAATTGTAACAATGATACATGACATTCTCCTGTCATGTCTTAATTTGCACAGCGACCAATTGCCAATTGAAGAGTTCTTGGTTTCAGAAGCTGTGCATAAGTATTTCCATCCTTGTGAAAGAAATATCCTGGAGGATATAATACGCATTATCAATTTGTTGAGGGATATTGCAAGATTTTCACAAATTTACAGCATCAATCGTAATATTTCATCAAATACCTGTGCTTTTGATACAGACGAGTCACTGCAGAATGGTCTCTATCTAAAGGCATTTGCCAATGGAATTGCTGAAGTGTTGGATGAATATTTAGAAGATGTGGCCGAGTTGGAGCGTAAATATCTTATGCATCCGCATCAGTCGCTGATGTTTATTTACAACAAGCTGCAGGAATACGAACCACTGGCCTTATATCTGGCCAATTTGATACGAGGTGTTTGTGTGCAAAGATTGCATGGCTGTGCCATTATTCAATATTTGCAACAGAATACTTTACATGGAGACGCTCGAGCCATAAAAGCTGTGAAATTGCTGCAGAAAAAGGTGAATGTCATCTTCCTGAAACAATTGACTCATTGGATTCTGTATGCCAAACTACAGGATACATATGGAGAATTTTTCATACAATGTTCCGAGGGGGATGGTAACAGTACCCTGGGCAGTGATAAGGGAACAACAACTGGTAGTGGTCGTTATGCTGCCACATGCAATTCCGAAATGGCCAGCAATTATGCCGATATCTGGCGTTATGAGGTACGCTATGAATTGTTGCCTTCTTATTTGTCATATCTGTGGGCAGAGAAGGTCCTGTTCATTGGCCAAACAGTGCTGATATTCAAAGTTGATACTGATAAACTCAAAAAGAAATGCCATATTTGGAATAAAGATGAAAATAGTTATTTTGATCAGAAGCAATCCTTTTGGAATGACAAGGAACATATTTACTTTGCCAAGATTCAAGCTTTGTTGCACGATGAGGATTTGATAGTGTCCCATTATGAAAGTGTTATCGATGAGTTGAAAACTTATGTGACCACACGTCTCTCGGAGATTGCCGTCAATCAGGCGGATTTGGTTAAACAATTGAAACTGCTTAAGGATTTCTTTTTACTGGGACGTGGTGAACTATTCCTGGAATATATACGTCAAATTTATATCATCAACAAGGAAACGGAGAATACAAATAAATTAAGAGATTTTGTCAAGGCGTTTGAATCTGCAGCTCATAGTATTGGTGTCTCCGAAGAGTTGGAACAGTTTTCTGTTAGCATGCCCAAGGCACATCCAGAAAACGATGAATCTTTGGAATTTGGTTATTTGCAGCTAATTCAATTGCAGTACAAAATTAATTGGCCATTGCATTTGTTATTCTCTCCAAAGGTGTTAGAACGTTACAATATCCTTTTTCGTTTTCTGATTCTAATCAAAAAAATGCAATATGATCTTCACATGGTATGGTGCAAATCCTCACGAAAATTCAAATTGAAATCGGCCGATCACAAAGTTAAGGTTATGCTTTTACGCAACGAACTTATGTTCTTTGTGGATAATCTTCAGTATTACATACAAGTCGATGTTCTTGACAGTCAATTTAGCATACTCTTGAACACAGTATTAAATGAAGCAGATTTCGAGCAGATCCAAAGAGCACATAGTGTCTTTCAAGCGAATATTTTATCATTGTGCTTCTTGCAAACCGATGAGGACGCCAGCCGTACAAACGTCTTACAGACATCTCTATTGAATTGTAATAATCCCGTTTATTTGATCATCAATGAAGTCTTTCATATTTGTAATGATTTTTGTACATTAATCGATAATGAAAAGTCCGAGGAGAATGTCGATGAGAACACTGATAAATTGGGAGAACGTTTTGCCACCTTAGTTCAACAGCTTATAAATTTGTTGGTTGGTTTAAAATCAGCAACAAGCACTGCACCCTTATCGCAGCTTCTGTTACGTTTGGATTATAATCACTGGTTTAGCAGCAGAAAAATTGATAATGCTGGAATCTCATAAGTTACATATTTTAAATATTGTAATTGTTAAATAATTTATTTTTTCTACGTTCTTTTTTTAATAAACACAATGAATTCACCTGTAATGGTTTTATTGGTCAGGTACACATGCGTCATAGAATTTGTTTTCAAACAACTCACTTGGAGAATATCCCCACACAAAAACCAGGAGAGCTGTCAAAGTTTGGCGGTATTTCCCGAAACCATGGTATTACTTACCTTACCTCCTGGTCAACATTTCCATTTTTTCCCTTCACCATTCTATGGAGGGTATATTAACTTTGCTTTACGTTTGTAACGCTGATCCAGAATATATATATATATATATATATATATATATATATATATATATATATATATATATATATATATATATATATATATATATATATATATATATATATATATATTCTGGATCAGCGTAAAATTCTAAGACGATCTAGCGAGGTGCGTTTGTCTGTCTGCTCTAATCACGCTATCTTTCGAACGAACGAATTGAAGTAGAAGGCTAAAATTTAGGTTAAGTTCGTAAATGGGTCATGTCGGTCCACGTTTTCGTATAGTCCCCATATAACGGTACCTCCAGATATTCGGTATTTTGATGATTTTAGCGACATTATTTACCGGAATTATTTATAATTTCGTATTTGAAGTTCGTAATGGTACTACAGCCTATGACAAGAATTATTGCTCCCATATAACGTACCTCCATATATTCCGTATTTTGATGATTTCAGCAACATTATTCACCGGCTTCGTTTCAAATTTCGTACTGCAGCCTATGGGAAAAATTGCGTATACAGGTCCACGTCTTCGTATAGCCCCTACATAACGGTACCTCCCGATATTCGGCATTTTCATGATTTTAGTGACATTATTTATCGGAATTATTTCAAGTTTCGTATTTGAAGTTCGTAATGGTCCACGTTTTCGTATAGTCCCCATGCAGCGGTTTCAATTAGGTGGTAGTTTTCGGATTTTTTTTTTTTTGAAAATTTTCAAGTTCCTTTAAAATGGTGGAGGGTATTAAAAGTTCGGCCCGGCCGAACTTAGTAGTTTATAGTATTTACAACAGATTTTGTATTAGTAGAAATAGTAGAATGTATGTGGTTTAGAAAGGATTGAAGGCATATTTTGCTTTTTTGAGCATTTTGTTATTCATAATTTTAACTCCTTGGTGGGGGAGGCACTAGCAGGAGGGGCCTAATATATTCCATCTTAACGCTTGATCTTGTGTTAATAAAAATATTGGGATGTGCGAAATTTAAAGAGAATCGGATTCTTATTTCGAATTTCATTTTATTTGACCGCTTTGTGGAAAAGTTACCAAAAAAATCTTGTATTGGAAGACACATTGGAATGTGCTGAATTTTAAAGAAATTGGAGCTTCAGGTCAAGGGCTTTTATGAGCTTCAGGGTTATTCAAAGTTTGACCGGTTATGGAGGAGGTACGATCTATGTGTTCTTCATACCAGAACTGGTGTTGGTAGAAATACTGAGATTTTAACCCTTTGATGAAAAAGGTCGATATTTTAACACCTGACTTATGATTTGTAAAATCGGATGTACCATGAGTTAAATTATTTTCTCCAAATGTTCTGAAACGAATTGATCCAAAGGAAACTACTGTCAAAAACCGTTATTTCGATGAAGCACGTTTTGGCCTTATCAAATGATATATAGTCTCTGTAGCCATATGGCTGAGGATATAAATACACATTTTTTTGGCTAAAGTATTAAAAATCTGTTTTAGAACTAAGTCTAAAGCCTATATTGTTAGAACAAAAATCTTGAAATTTCGGATGCGTTTACAATTGACACAATAAGTCAAATATGGTGGTAAAAACCTCGAAATGTCAATATCTAAGGAGTTATCACCATTTTAAATTTTGTTATTTTTTCACTTTAATAAACTCATCGGAAAACATAGCTAAGAACCCCGAAATGTCAACATTTAAGGAGTTATGACCATTTTAAAATATGCTATACTTCCTCTTTTAAAGACTGATCACAAAACCGCTAAAACCCCCAAATGTAAATATTTAAGGAGTTATGGTCATTTTAAATTATGGTATTTTGTCTCTTTAGTAAACTGATCACAAATCATAGCTAAAAACCCCGAAATGTCAATATTTAAGGAGTTATGACCATTTAAAAATATGCCATACTTACTCTTTAAAAACTTATCACAAAACGTAGCTAAAAACCCCGAAATGTCAATATTTGAGGAGTTATGACCATTTTAAAATATGCTATATTTCCTCTTTTAAAAATTTATCACAAAACAACTAAAAACCCCGAAATGTCAATATTTAAGGAGTTATGACCATTTTAAAATATGCTATATTTCGTCTTTTAACAACTGATCACAAAACATAGCTAAAACCCCCGAAATGTCAATATTTAAGGAGTTATGACCATTTTAAAATATGCTATATTTCCTCTTTTAACAACGAATCACAAAACATAGATAAAAACACCGAAATGTCAATATTTAAAGAGTTATGGCCATTTTAAAATATGCTATATTTCCTCTTTTAAAAACTGAACACAAAACATAGCTAAAAACCCCGAAATGTCAAAATTTAAGGAGTTATGACCATTTTAAAATATGATATAATTCCTCTTTTAAAAACTGATAACAAAATGTAGCTAAAAACCCCGAAATGTCAATATTTAAGGAGTTATGACCATTTTAAATTATGGTATTTTGTCTCTTTAGTAAACTGATCACAAATCATAGCTAAAAACCCCGAAATGTCAATATTTAAGGAGTTATGACCATTTTAAAATATGCTATATTTCCTCTTTTAACAACTGATCACAAAACATAGCAAAAAAACCCGAAATGTCAATATTTAAGGAGTTATGACCATTTTAGAATATGCTATAATTCCTCTTTTAAAAACTGATCACAAAACATAGCTAAGAACCCCGAAATGCCAATATTTAAGGTGTTATGACCATTTCAAAATATGTCATATTTCCTCTTTTAAAAAACATAGCTAAAAACCCCGAAATGTCAATATTTAAGGAGTAATGACCATTTTAGAATATGCTATAATTCCTCTTTTAAAAACTGATCACAAAACTTAGCTAAAAACCCCGAAATGTCAATAGGTAAGGAGTTATGACCATTTTAAATTATGGTATTTTGTCTCTTTAATAAACTGATCACACAACATAGCTAAGAACCCCGAAATGCCAATATTTAAGGTGTTATGACAATTTCAAAATATGCCATATTTCCTCTTTTAAAACACATAGCTAAAAACCCCGAAATGTCAATATTTAAGGAGTTATGTTCATTGTAAAATATGATATATTTCCTCTTTTAAAAACTGATCACTAAACAAAGGAGTTATGACCATTTCAGAATATGCTATAATTCCTCTTTTAAAAACTGATCACAAAACATAGCTAAAAAACCCGAAATGTCAATAGTTAAGGAGTTATGACCATTTTAAAGTATGCTATATTTCCTCTTTTTAAAACTGATCACAAAACCCCGAAATGTCAATATTTAAGGAGTTATGACCATTTTAGAATATGCTATAATTCCTCTTTTAAAAACTCTTCTTGAATTTTGACAATAACTCAACATTGGGATATTCCAATTATAGGTGTACTAAAAAGCTCTGAACATGTTACCATTTGGTATTATTCGAACGGATTAAGCTAAAATATTAGCATTTGGTCAGGTTTGCGAAGTTAGGTTTATAGAAGTAGGTGTTTTTCGTAATGTGTGCTAAGTGTAAAAACTGTACTGTATTTGGTACAATTTGGTTTTGAGTGAACGGAAATACGTTCTACAATTGTACGAAAAGTACTACATTTGGTACTGGGGTCAATGGTTAGTGCTCAAAATCGGAAAATTGTCATTTGGTCATTGTTGGTGTGTAGCGTTGATATTTAGAGGTTGTTTGGTTGGAAACACGTACTAAAAAGGAACGTAATCTATTAAATGGTACTAAATTTTGTATTTGGGGAGAGTATAGATTTGGAAATCTAAAATTCTATTTTGGAATCCGTTTTATGGGGTTGGATTCCAATATGGGTGTGGATTTGAAAATACGAACTTCAAAAATACTAAATTATATTAAATTTGGTATTTGGGGAAGGGATGAAGCTAGCAATCTGAAATTTGAGAGGAGGGTTGCAGTAGTGGTACTAAAGGTTTTTTAGGTAAAACAAAAACTTAAAATTTGCTATGATAATCACGTTTAAAAAGTAGGATATAAGGATGTGGGGTTGAAAACGTATTCTTATTATAAGAATTGTGCTAAATGGTACTAAATTTATAAAATTTATATTTAAGTACAAATTTGAAGAAGCGGGCATTTGCTAGTGTCCTCTATTTGGATAGATCTTGAATATGTGCTGAAAAATGTACCGTATAACAACAAATAACCAAGAATGAATGGGTGGAACTGGGGACTTTGGTCAATTAAGGATAAGGACATGGTACAATGATATCAAGGTAGGGCTATGATACCATATGATTTTAATTTTTTTATTTTCTTGGCTTAATATGTCATCTTTATTTGTTTATGTATGTGTTATCTTTTCAATAACAAAAAAAAATTTCCAGAAAATATTCAAATTCGGGTGTTTTCAACATGTTTATTTCATCATTTATGCATCGACAAAAACTAGAGTTTTTGTAGCGAAATATACCTTTAGAGATAAATAGTACATGATTTTGAAAAGAAGTGTTGATCTTTCATTCAGTTATCGCGTTTTTCAATTATTTATTAAAAAAAATGCAATGATTTTTTATTGTTTTGATACTAATTCTGACATTACAAGCCAAACAGGTAGACCTCTATACTTGCAATTTTTTCAAAGTTGGCCTACCTTCTCTTCATTGTACCATGGATAAGGATATAATTTCAAAACTGATTTATATTCCCTTTTCTTTTATGAAGTAGCGGGCGCTTTTTGGTAAAAACATATATTTGTTGCTGTTAGTTTAGCTAAATATATACAGTGGCCCAGGATATCATAAAATCGGACTCGCCTGCCTTAGTTCAATATTTTTAATTCATAGTTGACTTCTAAAACTATGTATATCTGATT